AAATATAGTTTTTCTATACAGTTGTTTATATGAAGTAGCCAGTTTTATTCCTAGGTATTTTATATCTTTTCTTAAAAACGCCTCTGGGAGTTTAATTGGGACCATTTGACTAAAAGTCTATAGAGTAATTTTAAGGTTAATTACCGTCCCATATAAAGGGGAAATTCTTTTTGTAACTTTTCTTTTTCACTCTTTGGTATATTGATGTTCAGAATCTCTGTTTTTGTTGGTTAATTTTTAGATTTGATAGTTCACCATACTCCTTCAGGGTCTTCATTATACTTGGTAATGTTATTCGGGGGTTGCCTACATAAAACAATAGGTCGTCCGCAAAGGCCGCTACCTTATGTTCTATATTTTCTATCTGGATTCCCTTTACCGCTCCACTATTCCTTATTATTGACAACAAGGGTTCCAGTGTCAAAACGTACAACAGGGGGGACAATGGGCAGCCCTGTCTTGTTCCATTGGACATCCCAATGGATTCCGACCTCTCCCCATTTACTGTAATGATTGCGGTGGGCTCCCTATATAATTTACCTATCCACTCCCGCATTCTCTCTCCGATCCCCAGCACTTCCCAAGTTGTCCATCATAAAGCCCCAGTCCACTCTATCAAACGCCTTTTCGGCATCAATTGACAAGAGCACCACCAGGGCTTTTCCTTTTCTACTTTTCTGAATAAGCATTAAAGTTCTCAACCCGTTGTCTCTACCCTCTCTCCCTGGGACAAAGCCAACCTGATCTCCATGGATCCATTCAGGCATTAGTTCTTTCAGCCTGTTTGCTAGAACCTTTGCGTACAACTTGGTATCAGTGTTCAATAATGAAATTGGTCTATAGCTAGAGCACTGAGAAGGATCTTTTCCCTCCTTGTGAATGAGAACTACATGGGCCTGAAGGGATTCCCTCCTCCCCTCCATCCCACCTCCCAAGTCATTCATATACTTCTTCAGCTTCGGTAACAGTAATTCACTAAATTTTTTATCGTACTTAACTGTATAACCATCCGGGCCAGGGCTTTTCCCACCCCCTGTACTTCTTAATGCTGCTTCTATTTCTTCCTGGGAAATTTCCGCGTCCAAGGAATTCAATTGTGTTTCACTGAGCTTAGGTAGTCCTTTTTTTCGTTAATACCTTCTCTAATTTCTTTTGGTGCACCTTGATGACTAATGTTATATAACTTTCTATAATACTCCGTGAATACTTTAATAATTTCTTTAGTTGAGTGGACCAACTCCCCCTTAGGACTTTTTATCTTTTTCTATATAATTCCTGTTTTTCTTTTTATTCAGGGCTCTCATTAAGTATTTTCCTGGTCTATCTCCCCATCTATATCTTTCACTTAATACTTTGTTATATACTCTTCTCCTCTCCTCTTCCATCAGTCTCTCTAGCTCGTCTTTTTTATCCTTTAACTTCTGTCTTGTTTCTATTGTTATTTTCTTCTTATGTATCTGCTCCAAGTCCAGGATTTCCTTTAGGAGTCCACTAACCCTCTCTCTTCTTTCTTTTTTCTTCCTTGCTCCCATCGCAATCAAGATTCCTCTTATATATACCTTATGGCTTTCCCATACTGTAGCTGTCGATACTTCCTCTGTCTCATTCTCCTTGAAATATACTTTAATCTCTTCCCTGATCTTCTGCGCAATATCCTCATCCAAGAGAAGAGCCTCATTTAACCTCCATCCTAAGCCTCCCATCCCACCTTCTTCCCCATCCTATTTTCATTATGACAGGGGCATGATCCGAGAAAGTTCTTGTCTCTTTTTCTATTTTAACCAACAGTTCACTGAGTTGATGATCTATCAAAAAGTAATCCAGTCTCGAGTATATCTCATGTGCATTAGAGAAGAAGGTATAGTCTCTGTCTTTCATATGCATTATTCTCCAAGAGTCCACCAGTTGGTACTCGTGGATCACCTTCTTCAAAGCTCTCAGAGACCTACCCCCCTCTCTCTGCACAAGGGAGGTTGCATCCTTTTGTGGGGTCCATACAAAGATTTAAATCTCCTGCTATAATTAAACGCCCTTTTTTAAAAATCAATCAATTTTTTCAGCAGACCCTTCAAAAAGATCTCCGGTTTTTTTTGTTGGGGCAATATATATTGGCTAGTGTACACTCAATTCCCTGTAGTTTACCTTTCAAAAATAGGAATCTCCCCTCCGGATCAGTCTTTCTCTCTTCCAGCTCAAATCTCATATTCTTTGCCAAGCCTATTGCCACCCCCTTTGCTCTTTTAATTGGAGAGTCAGCGTAATACCATGTTGGGTAATATTTAGATTTTAGTTTCACGTTTGACTCTATCTCAAAGTGTGTCTCCTGTAAAAATACCACTGACGTTGCCGTGTGATGTAACTCTCTTTAAACAACTTAAATCTTTTCCCAGGACAATTCAACCCATTTCACATTATATGTTATAAAACTGTATTTCTTCCATCCTTCATAAGTCTGTCTATCTTTCTTCTAAATCGTCTCTTCCTATTAGGCCCAGCTGTCTTGCAGAGTATTAGCCCCGTAACCCCTCCCCCCCCCTCCCTCCCACCCAACCCCTATCCCCCACCCCCTCCCCCACCCCCCCCTCTCTTATTTTTTTCCCCTACCCATTTTTTAGGCTTATATAAACTGCCTACAAATCATTTGTGGAACGGTTTCCACGGTTGATTTAAAATATTGGGCGTAAGCTCCGCCCATGGATGGCTCACCTCTCCTCCGACCTCCCCAGCTCCCCTTTCTCTATCAACTGGGCTCTGCAATACCTTTACTTCCCCCCCTTAACCGGAGCTTCCAGAGGGACCTCCGCTTCTACAGGGGGGATACGAGAGGGGGTGAGGAGGAAAAAGAGAGAGAGAAGAAAAGCATATATTTTACTTAATTCTCCCTCCCCCCTCCCCCCAACCCCAAGGCCTCCCTCCCCCTCCCCCCGACCCGCTGCCAGTCCTCCTTTCTTGCATTAACCGTATCTCCTTTTTCTTCTTCTTCCCACCCCAGCTATCTCCATTCTTTGCAAGTCCAGTCTATTGCAAAACTCTCTCAGTTCGTCCGGGAATCTCAGATATGCTGTGACCCCATTTTTCCAGCCAATTAGAGATACTGAGGTACCCCATCTATATTGCACTTTCTGTTTTCTCATTTGCTCCAACAGGGGTTTCAGGGATCTCCTTCTCCTTAGAGTCTCTGATGTTAAGTCCGCAAAAATTTGAATAGTCCAATCTCTATACTTAATTAATGATCTTCCCTTGATCTTCTTCCAAATCTCATTTTTGACCCCAAATTTCTGGAACTGGACAACGATATCTCTCGATCTTTCCCTCTCAGTCTCTTGTTTAAACTTTCCTATTCTGAACACTCCGTCCAGTTCAATCACATCTGTTTTCAGGTCTGTCTCTTATGGAGTTTAAGATTTTATTAACTAGTTCATATAATGTTTCCCCTTTTACAGACTCTGGAATTCCTCGCATCCTGAGATTACACCTTCTTTCTTTATTTTCTTGAATTTCCATCCTATAGAGCAATTTTTTTTCTGGGTTTTCTCCAAATGGGTTGTTTTTTTTCCTTAGATTATCTATGGTTTGGGCCTGGGTTTTAACTTTCTCCTCTATTTCTTCCATTCTCGACAGCAAATGCCCTAAGTCGTTTCGAATAACTGTCATTTCATGTTTTATCATTTTCTCCAAACTTTGAAACATTTCTGTCATCTCCTTCTTATTCGGTACTTGTAGTTCACCATCAAGCTCTTTTTTTCCCAAGCCATCCTCTATTTGTTGGCTTCTACTGCTGTTCATACCCAATGCAATCTAGGACTATTTCCGGATCTAGTGTCCATTTCCCCTTTAGCACTGTCGCCTTGGGGCCTTTCTGGGGTAGTATTACCGTATGATGGAAATTTCCTTAGCGTGCCTGATTGAGACCCTTTGAGCCCTGCTCCCTTAGGACCTTTATTCTTCATATCCTCTATATATCTTTTGTCTTCTATATGCTCTAGATGGGGGTGTACCTCTCCTTTATGGTTTGTGCTTCAGACAGGTTTGCAGATTTTCCTTGTATTTTGCTCTCCTGTGGCACCTGGGGCTTTTCTCTTCTAAACCCAGGGAATCCTCCTCTCTCCTCCTTGACCCCTTGATCCCCAATGTCACTCAGTAGTCCACTGCACAATAGACCCCCCAAAGCTCTCACTCACCCTTCTCTTCCCAAGACGGTGGCTCCAAGCATGAGTGGAGGGCCTTCACATCAGCTCTGTCCTGGGGGGGATTCCTCTGGTCTTCCCACGCTATGCCTCGTTTTTCCTCTCTGGGCTTCGTCCCAGGGATGCAGGGTGGGTCTCCTAATACTCCCGGGTCTCCCCGGATTGAACAGTCTACTGGCCGGGGGCCGCAGGCAGCAGCAAAGCCAGGAGACACGGCCAGTAACAAGCCGGAGGTTGTAGGCAGCAATAGGCCGGGGGTTATGGGCAACAGGGAGCCGGTAACAGTAAGCCGGCGTCTCCCTGTCTCATCAGGCGGCCGGCCGGCTTCTCCCAGAGATCCTCCGCGGTTGCATACACGCCCCCGCCGTGTCACCTCGCCTCCCAGCCGTCCAGATCCCTCTCTCACGAGGCGCCGGAGGAGCCGGCGCGTCACTGCAGCCTCCGTCCAGCTCCCATCTCCGTCTCTCCGGGCTCCATTCCAAGCTCTCCAGACTCCGGTGAGTCGTTCTCTAAGGGTCACTAGGGAGGTCGGGAAGCAGGACCTAGCCGAAAGCTAGTGCCGCTCGCTCCCCTCAGCCGCCATGTCCAGGCTCCACCCCATTCTGTACATCTCTGGATATCAAGAGGGCTGGATCAAGAGGGGGGGCTGGGGGTTGGGCTGCTGCACACAGACGGTTTTTTTACCTTCATGCACAGAGTACATTTTTTCTTCAGTTCTGGACAAAGTGGAGGGGTCTTAGAATATTTTTCAGGTTTTATTGCTGTCCGTGCCCCCGTTGGAGAGATTCCATTTGTCACTTTTATTGTTATCACCAAAAATGAAAGAAAATCCCACATTTTGGGTTGTCACCAGAACTGTAATAGATGGGAAATCTTCAAAATGGGTACACTAGTTGTGGTGACCCTGATTATCTCACTTTGGGGGGATTTCCTCTCACTTCCTGTTTTGGCTATGGGACAGGAAGTGAAGGGAAATCTCCCCCAGTGGGAAACAGATAGCAAAAAAAAAATCTACAAGAACAGATCGTTTTCCATTATCGACTCCCTAGGTTGTACCCTTCTTATGATGTATGACGAATGCATGTTTTTAGCCTCCAATCACATTTGTCAACATTATACATTATTTGCCATATAGCTGTCCACTCAAGCATCACATCCTGTTCATCTTGTAAGTCGGAGACATCTATTGTACTGTGTAACTTTGTGTCATCCGCAGACACAGACATGGTACCTTTTTTTTTTTTTTTTTTTTAAAGAATAAAGATTTATTGATTTTTCAAAGTAGTTACAGAAAATTGTTCCATCAACAAACACATTGTCAGAAATAGAGCAATGACCCAGTGGCATCAGACATTACATCTGTCAACATTATCGACTTCATGTGCTGAGATAGTGGGGAAGTGGACACACCCTTGAAATTTCGGTGTGAGATCTTACTATAATAATGCACAACCACATATACAGTATACAGTGATTTATTGAAGCTGATATCAGGCAGCTTAAAAGTGGCAGCCACCCCAACCTATAACTAGCCATTGCAATAAGGTGTTAATGGAAGGACAATGCACATCTCAAATACAAAATTCCCAACACACTTACCTGCTAGCCTGCATAAAAAACCCAAATTGATCCTGTCCAACAATTCATATTAAAAAACAGAAGATTTTGTTGCACACATTTGCAAATATATGTGTAAGCCGCAGTGCCAACGCCAAGGCTTCTCTGTATACTGAGGTCCTAACTATCAGTTTAACTTCTTGGTGCCGGCTGCACTCAAATGTGCATCTGCGCCTTGACGTCGAGCGGCCGCACATTTGCGTGCAATTAAGAAAAAACATATGTGCTGAGAGCGCGCGCCCTGCACGCTCCCAACACACATGTCCGGTACTCACGGAAAGGTCCTGATCTCCTCTTGGGATCAGGACCTTTCCCGATCATGTGACCACCGTGACAGTGAATCACGGCAGTCACTTGACCCTAAAACCCTTCCCCGGCTCCTAGCTTCTGAAATCCATAAAGGGCCGGGAGGCGCCGGTGCCAAGGGGTTAAGCAGAGCTTTTTATTCTCAGAAAATAGGTGTCTTATTATTATTATTATTATTATACAGGATTTATATAGCGCCAACAGTTTGCTCAGCGCTTTACAATATAACGGGAAACAATACAGTTCAATACAAGAGGGTTAGGACGGCCCTGCTCCTTGGAGCTTACAATCTGAGGGAGGAGCTGGTGGTACAAAAGGTAATAACTGTGGGGGATGGACTGGTAGGAGGAGTAGAATATTCCATTATTAGCTGAAGGCAGGATAGCCTTCCCTGAAGAGATAGGTTTTCAGAGATTGGCTAAAAGTGAGCAGAGTATGCGATAGTCTGATAGATCGAGGTAGAGAGTTCCAGAGGATGGGGAGGCTCTGGAGAAGTCCTGGAGATGAGCATGGGAGGAGGAGAAAAGGGAGCTAGAGAGCAGGAGGTCGTACGAGAAGTGGAGAGGATGGTTTGGGTGATATTTTGGAGACAATATTAATGATGTCATGGGGGCAGAGGTATAAATGGTTTTAGGTGTTATTATTAATGTTTTGAATTTTATCCGTTGGGCAATGGGAAGCCAGTGGAGGGATTGGCAGAGAGGGATGGCATGGTGGATAAGTCTGGCAGCAGCATTCATGATGAGGTGTAGAAACGCAACCTTAACCCCCTAAAATCCCCCTCGACCCACACACACACCCTCCAAACTGCATCAAATACTGGGGGTGGCCAAATTTCACCAACAATAGGAGGGTCTTAAAGGGGCATTAAATACCAGGAGTGCATTATGTACAGAGTGCAGAGTTCAGGGGTGCGCTGCATGCAGAGTTCGGGACTGCATTACAAACAGAATGTAGAGTTAAGCCTTCTTACACTGCCCTAGGAGGGTCCCTCTCCTACGTCACGTCTGGTTGCTGGAACGCACGCCGGCCACAATATTTTACATTTGTATTTTTATGATTTTAAATAAATATACTACCTTCTAATATTTCATCTTGGGCTTCTCTCTGAGCTTTAGTTGGGATTTGAAGTGGTTCAATAGAAAGTGCTTGAGAGGATATTCCTTTGGGATTCTACATACAGAAGTGAACATCCAATTGGGTCAAATACAGGATCTGTCATTTAACGCTTGCTAGCTACTTTGGTGGTTGAGGGGATATGGTGAGGTCACAATTCAGCTGGACACATTGGTGGAACACTGCTGGTTCTATTAAGAAGAACGGTTAACCTTATTTCCTTCTTTTTTTTTTTTTTTTTACAAGAATATGGTGTGAGAAGACTTTCTTATTATTAAATATTTGAACTTTTTTTCATCATTCATTTATTTTTTTATTCATGTGGTTGTATTTTGCACTGCTAATATTAAGGGGAATGTTGGTTATGAGAAAGGTTTACTTCTGCATCCATCCATCCTTATCTCACTTTTGCCCCTCTTAAGCTCTGACCTCTGCATGCTCTCCACTGCCCCCATCTTCTCCCCCCCATCTTAAAAGCTCCACCATCTTCTTACCTCTGCATTAAGTGGAAGCACCTGGCCGCACACTGTTGGCGATTCTGCCTTTCTCACTTGCAGGGAGATCATCCAGTGGGGGTGTCGGCATCCGCACTACACCCAAGGCACCGGCATCTCCCTTGTCCCCATCCTGCACTCAGTGGGAGCTGCTCAGGAAATCAGATCTCTGGGAGCTGTTGAGAGACAAGTTGTGTGAATACAGAGGCCGAACTTCTCTGTTGTTGGTAGTAGTGAGCAAGTAGTAGAGGGCCTGAGCCAGGGGTGGTGGAACTGAGTTCCACCAAGTTCAGCTGAAAAAAAGTCCTGATTTTAAGAGTCTCCAAGTTGAAACCTCAGAGTTAGGACCACAGTACACAGAGGTGCCTTGACATAGGCACTATAGCTTCCACCTATATTTGCAAATGTGTGCAACTAAAACCTCTGTTTTTAACTTGAATTGTTAGACAGGGACAATTTGGTGTTTTTGCAGGCTGGCTGGTAAGTTTGCTGGGAAACGTTTGTTTGAGGTCACGAGAGAAGTCGGTTGTTTAGGAACATGATGCCCTTAAGTAAATACATCTGTGTATCCTGTGTATTGATAGAAGGAAGGGAAAGGAAGGATGAAGAACAGAATTCATGAGGGAAGGGGGAAAGAGGAGATGTGAAGGCTGGGGAGGAATGTGGGTATGGGTGGTGTGCTGGGTAACTGGGTCAGGGAAGCATACAATTTACCTGAGAGACTCAAGTAATAATGGCTTAAATTTTTTTCAGTAACAAGATGGCCCAGTTAGTCCACGTGGAAGAAAAAATATATTTTAAATATATTTTAAAAATATTCTTCCCAAATATATATATATATATATATATATATATATATATATATATATATATATATATAAATGCATTTTGTATATATTACAAAATATAGGAAAAATATATTTTTTTTATTTATTCTTCAGATTTTTTTTAACACATGAAAAAGTAATTTTAACATATATTTTTACATACATTTGTAAAAGCATTCCAAAAAATGTAGATTAAATGTATGTTTAATTACATACAGTATATTTGAAAACGTATTTTAAAAAATATTTTTCATATAGTTTTTAATATATAAAAAACGCATTTCAGCATATATATAGAGAAATATATTTTGAAATATTTTAAAAATGGCCAAAATTGTAGTATTTCATATATATGTCAATATATTTGGGAAGAATAATTTTAAAAATATATTTAAAATATATTTTTCTTCCATGTGGAAAAGTAGGCAGAATATTGATTATGGTGTTGTCACATCAGTTCCTGTACTGCAGAGAGTCACCAAATACTAGGTTTAGTATTCTAGGTTTCTCACCCCCGCTGTATCGAGATAAAGCTGCCGGCTTCAAACGGTCCATGATCAACTGAGGGTTAAGATGCAAAGTGGAGATGCTCAACTTCAGAGTCCAGAATAGGTTTATTGAACTTACTCGATTCATGATAAATCCACCTGCTCTCTACTTAAGTGTTTCATTGTGAAGACCAAATCATCGATGTATCTATAATATGTCTTAATCAAAGCCTTGAATGGGTTCATATCTCCAGAGATGTGGCCCTCCTTCCACCAACCCATAAAAAGGCTGGAATATGTTGGTACAAAAAGTTACTGTGCTGTGCATTTTAGATTCTTTGTTATAATTTTGTGTGGCGAACAGATTTTCCCAGTGTAACACATTGTATTAGATTCATTGACTGGAGCTTGGTTCTCCTGGTGTGAATCCCTCACTAGATATATATGATTTTAATTGAGCTATGATAAAAGTACCCTTCCATACTGAAATCCCGAATGGACCGAAATGCGTAAGCTGGGAGCAGCTGGATTTGTCTTGTATTGGGTAACTTCAACAAACCTATTTTGGACTCAGAAGTTGAGCGACTCATCTTCTATTTATTGCATCATCAGTTCTTCTAAGAACTACAAATTAAGGGGATATGTCCCTTCCCTCCAATTAGCTCTCAGAGCTCTCCTCACTGTGCTGTGCAGTGTGTAATTTCAGCTCTGTCCCCTTTTTTCTGAACTCTCAGACAAGCTTTGTAAATTTTGCACTTTAAAAAGATGTAGAGAAGAAAAGACTGCAGATGGATAGGTAGAGCTTATGTATGGGGATTAGTTCCCTCTCTGTGTATCACCTGAGGCCAGTCACTTCACTGGATATATGTAAGGGTTTACAACCACTTTAACTTCAAAAATACATTTTACAAATGACTGATTGGACCATAGGCAGCTCAGTTTTTTCTTTCAGACACATTGATAGATGGCAGCCTTAACTTATATTTCACTCCATGAAAGTATAAAATATTGTGCTTCTGGGCTTCCCCTCACCGTTCTCGTTGAAATCACTCAATTATTGATGAATTTTCGCAAGTCTCATCAATTTGCTGAAACTTCTCCAAACCTGGGGAATGGTCTGCAGTCAATAGGGAA